GATTGAAAATGATTTTGATATATCTTTTGTTAAACATTTAAACATTTATAGTTAAAGCCTAATTTATATAATCATCTTACTGGATTTTATATCTAACTTTTTATTGATACAATATTGATAATGTATCGTATTTAATTTGAATAGGGTAAGTAATTCCTTTATTCATATAATTATTGTTATTTAAAGAATTGACTAAGTGAATATAAAGGATTAAATCATATTAAATAAAAAATGTAGAAATCACTTATTTAATTTATTATGAATACTAAAGTGTGTAATAAATATAATTATTTGAATTTTAGTACTTAAAAATTATTAAAAATTTTTAATAGAATTAAAATGGTTATTTAGATATTATATATTAACAGTAATTGAAATGAATTAAAAGTATAAAAAAAATCTCAACTTGGATGTTGGTTCATGTTTAATTGGCATAAATTTCTTAAGAAATTTTGGTCAGAGTTTTGCTATTAAAAGAGCTAAGATGATGATTGCAATAATAAATGAAAAATTAAAAGGATTGTTTGATAGCTTTAAGAAATTAAAGTAAAAACTAAGCGGATTGTTATAAATAATGATTTTAAGTACTTTAAATTTGAATATGAAAATGGTATTATAGTTGGCATATGGATGAACATGAAGAAAGATTAATATAAAATTAGAGAAGGTTTGAAAAGGTAGAAGAGATTAATATGGTGATTGAGATCGAATTTTTCAATGTAATAATATATTATCAAATAGCAATGTATTTTTTAAATTTAAAGGTTTGTTTAGTTGCTCTATATATTGATGACTAGATAATAATTTAATAGTTAACTTAATTCAAAATAACATCAGATTGTTTACTTTACTCATTTTAAGAATCAATATCTACTTTTAAAATATTATATTAATTATTAATTTTTTCTTCTTCATAAATTATTTTCTATCCAAAGTTAGTTTAATTTAAAGTTTGCTCGTCAATTTGAATTCCATTCTATTAATGTTATTAATCAAATTGTTCACACTTATAATTATTATCAATTTCTGGGTTAGAAAATTAAGTAAATTAATTTATTTCATATTTTGATTCACTAGTATGAGATGCAATAGAATTTAGCCCTAATCAATCCTTTTGAAACTTATTTGGGTCCCATAAAAATTTCATTATTACAAATTGAAATAAAAATAAACTTGTGGATTTTTTAGTCAATTTTTGATAATGAAAAAACAAAAAAAAGGATAGTGATTTTAATTTTCAAAAATTAAAAAGACTATTTATATTGGCAAAAGGAAGTGAAGTGCCTTAATAAGATATTCCTTAATCAAAATTTTCCAAATTAATTAATGATCATAAATAGGTGTGAATGGTATAATATTAAAATTAATTCTGATAGCTTGCAATCAATCCAAAAGTTGATTCTGATTGTGAATGCACTTATATTTGTGCAATTATTGATATAGATTAAACTTGCTAAGAAAAAAATCATTATCATGGATCATGAAAGAAATATTTGCTAGATAAGTCTTCAATAAAGCGAGTTGAAAAATCATTTAGAATTTTAGATATATCATTTTCTTATAACTCTATCTGATTTGGTAATACACTAACTACCTATTAGGATGGATAAGAATGTTAGCGGAATGATTTTTGTAATTGATTATTTTCAATAGTGTAATTAAGAATAAGAAAGAAATAAATAAAGAATTTGATTTTATTATTTTCAGTTGTTTTTCGATTAAGAATTCTGGTTATTCTATTTATTTGAAATTACCACATTCTTTGTTAATATAGTCTAAATTTTACAAATTTTGATTTTTTTAATTTAACTAACTTCTTTTAAGTATTATTTATATCGATATTTTAGAATTGATAATAGAAATTTGATTTGTAATTTAAAATAAACCAAATAGAGCTAAACTATTGTTGATACGTTTTATAATTTTAATATCTTAATTATTATTATGATTATAAAATTATTTCATTCAAAGCTTGTAGAAAAATACGATCTAAAATTTTAGCATTATCATAATTAATTGTCTGAGTATAAACTATATACTTTAATCTTTTTATGTTAACAATTTTTAAATTTCAAATTCAAACCTTTTAAACATCATTAATAAAAATCGATTTTAAATGAAAAGAAGTTTAATTAAAGTAAAAAGTAAATATGTAATATTATTATCATACTTATTTGTTGCTTACACTTATTCTGATGCAAAATCATAATCTTTAATTTTAATCCCACATTCAATTATGCTTCTCATAATATTGCATCTGATATCAATAATAAATGAACATTGTTTAATTTACAATATTGCTGATCGTAGATATACAGATTTCTAAATTTTTGGAATGAGTGATTAACTTCAGATAGGCGAGGCTCATAACCTAAAAACTTGTTTATTGGGCCTTATGAATTTTAAACTAAAGTAACAAATACGTTCACAAATGTTTCCCCTAAGAATTTAATTGGATTATAGGTTGGTGTTTTGAATTTAGTTTTTTTTGATGTAAAAGGATTTGTGACCTATGCAAATGATGTGTAAATAGAAAAATAATATTAACTACGATGACAGAACAATTATATGTAGAAAGATTTTTTGAAATATTTTCCTTAAGCCTCTTTTACTAAAGTCTTAAATAACAGGAATTGATTTAACAATTAAGTTAAAATAAAATTTAAACACTAATTCTTTGTCCAAAGGTTGTCTATCTTGAATATTATATAGAAAAATTATTAATAAGTCATTTGATTCTTATTAAAGTATCATTTCAATTATTATAATTTATCATTTTTAAATTAAACCCACCGTTATTTAGATTCTAAAATATAAGGACTTTATTTTTAAGATTTTTCATATTTTCATGTTAGTCTTATTATGGTTTAGCTTCTTAACCCTATAAATTTTTAATTGCTTGAAAACTATTAGGGAATCCTTGCTATATTCAAACAAAAAATATGTATATGAAAGTTTATGATAATATAGGAAATGTAATTATATGATATTTTTAAATTAATCCATGAAAATTAACACCTAAATAATCAAAAAGCTTATAATTCATTATCAGTGAAAATGGTGATTGGGCGATTTTCATATTTCAAATAGGGCTCAGAGTGTAATAGGTCTTTAAGATTTATTTTCAGTATACCATGAGGATAAAATTTGAAACAATGAAGCAACATCTAAATAATTTAGAGTTTTTTGAAACATCAAATTCAAGAGATCTGGAATATACTAGATTCGCTTGTTGGCCTCAATAACAAAAAATTATCAGCATATAACATTAATGTTTTAGAATGTAAATACACATTATCTTGACTTCATTATTTGTAATTTGATTCAAATTATATCTTTGTAAATGATTTGCCTGCCAATAATACTTATCCTGATAATAATGAATTACTCTTGAAATATTAATATTTTATTATTCCTCATGATTTTGGTTTATAGTTATTGATGTTAAGAGAATTGAAAATGTATTGGCATCTCCAGTATTAAATGATTTAATTACTTTTTATTTTTCCATCTTCAATTCATCAAATTTAATTTTTTTTTTAAGATAGTTAGCGAAATTAGTTTTATCCAAAAATTACATTATCTCTTTTTGACGGTTATATTTAAATTCCAAAATATTTTTGATATAAATAAATTAGAGAATCATTGATTGAATAATAATAATGATACAATAAATTACATAGATGAAATTACTCTAACACTCTTTCACTAGCAGATATATTGATTTTATAAAAAATTAAAATAAATGAATTAATTCCTCATTTCATTAGTATTTAGCTTTTAGATTGAAATAATAAGCTTCTTCAAAGAATACGAAATTTATTTATCCCAAATAAGATTGTATAATTAAATTGATTTTAATCAACTTGAAGCTTTTTAATCTATTGAGACAATCATTTCCAATATTAAAGTAAATGATATTTCGGACCTTTTTAAAGATAACATCAATGCTTCTGATTCTAAATTTCAAAAATATGAATATAATAGAACAAGGTCTATTTCAAATATTAAGTAGTTTTGAGGTAGTTAAAAAAGACAATCGAGGATGCAAGACCATATAGGTTGAATCTGGAGGTATCAAGAAAATATACACCCCCTGGTGCCAGATTATTCATAATAACTATCCAATTTCATTTCATTTTAGAAGCTTAATATAGTAACAAAACTGGCTTAGTTGCATTTTAGATATTCAAGCCAATATCTTAATTATTTAATTGATGAAATTAATTACTAACATAATTAGTGTCGAATTAAATTCTATTTAACTAAGATAAATATGTTTATTAGTCATTCAAAAATTGTAAGAGACTGGCCATCATCAGAATATATTAACATAGATAGTTCCTGATCCTTCTAATTATTAAATCATTTCTTGTTTTACTCTGAAAGAATAATTAATGCCGTAAAATCATTCACAATTACTCAAATTATCATTTTAAATTAAACAATAATCAAAATAAATTTTTGCTGATTAAATATAGAACCATCATTAAGAAATTTCTTTAGAATTACCCTTCAAAGCTTCTCTCGGCCTTCATACCCCTAACTATTTTTGACATATTGACAAGGTAATTAAAATACTTTACTCTTCAAAATCCTATTAAAATTGATGCAATATTTAAATGAGATATAATTCAGATAATATTATTAGATCTCATTAATCTTATTTATCAAATTTTTTTCTAAACTTGTTTATTTGAAGGAAATATTTGGCATTCTTTGAATCTGAAACTATTCAATTCCATTTCAATATAATTGTGAGAATCCATTTATTGGCATAAATGAAAATAGAGAACTCCAAACACTTACTTACATTTACATTAGTCATATAACTTTTTAAAATGCATTTTTCTCTAATTTGAAGGGAACTTAATCTTCACTATTTCGTTGATTAAATTAGAGAGCTAAAATTCTACAATAAAAATATTAGGACAAAATAGCTAATAATTAGGGAATGTTTTTTAATTCTTCCTCGCAAATTATTTTTCTTGGTTCTATAAAATCTAAGTTAGATCCTTATTTGATGTTTAATTATATAGTTAATATTTTTAAGTTTTTTATTTCTAGTTTGGTTTGTTATAAATTTGATGTAATATCATTGTTTTGAGTAATCAGGCTTAAAATGGTTACCAAAACATTTTATAAAAATTAATCAACAAAAAACAGAAGGAATATACAAATATATCAAGTTTTTAAATTGTTTTTGACGTTGATCTTTTTCTGCCTAAAATAATTTCAGTAATTACATCGTCGTGAAAAATTAGTAAAGTTATATCTTAATTATCCTAAACTAATTTCTATTAAAAAATAAACAAACTTTAAATAGGATAAGTCATTTAAGAATTTTCTGGATTGATTTTAGTTTTCCTTCGAATAGAAGGGCTTAATTGACAGTCCATTTTGAAAAGATTACCCTTTTAAAACAGCTCTATATTTGTTAATATTGCTTAAATATCTATTTTGATTAGAACTATAGTTATTCATTCCAATCAACTAGGAAATCACACTAAGTGGGATCATTTATTTGATGAGTTTCAGATTCTTTATTTTTCTACTTTATTAAATGATCAATTCAGATATACACTTAATTATTTAAGTTACAGTTAGAAGTTTTCCTTTCTTTGTTACAATAATAGGATTACCTGAAAAAGTTAATTTCCTTTTTCTTCAATTCATAATTCTAATTGTTTTAATTCTGACAACATCATTTTCTAATTGAAAAAATACTAGATTATATAAATAATATTACATTTATCTAAATCCAGCACTGTTTACTATTTTATTTATAAAGTTTTCTATTGTATTTCTATTAAGTTTCTATATATATCCAGATGTTCCTTTAATATGATTCTTTTAATTTCTCTATTAGTGTTCTCTATTCTGTTAAAAATCCTTATATTTTGGTTATCAGAAGATTGAGGAGCCAATAAAATAGCTTTTAACTTTAGCCGATGTAGATGATTAATTAAATATTAATTATCCATTTAATTTTGTTGATGTCTTTTATTTAATAGCATAACTGGGCTCTTTTATTACTTTAGTAGTTTCTTGGTTAAAGTTTCAATTAAGAACTTGTTTACTCATTTTAATATCAACATAATTTATTGTTTAAACCATATTATTGGTTGAGTATTTTCTTGATCGTAAAATTTGGAATTTAACCTGAACATCCTCATATATCTCTTAAGTATAACTTAATTGCCTTAAGAATTTATAAAGTTGTTTGATCATCTTATCAATTCCTCAAATAAATTCATAAGTAATAAAACTGATATTAAATAAATATCAATAGCTTCACCATAAAATATAATTTTGTATTCCTCATCTCTGAAAGAAATGAAGTAGAGCTGAGTTGCGACAAAAATACTATTGAGTTTCCTTTTTAAAATTTTTTTCATTGTAAAATTTAATTTCGTACCTCTTTGTCAATTTTAATAATTTTTATCAGTTTCTCACATAAACTGCTATCAAAAACTATGATATTTTTATTTTAAATGATACTTCTTAATTTTAGTTTTGTATAATATTATTTAAATTTACAATGCAATATTTTTTCATCTATAAAAATTGTTAATTTTTTGATAAATTTATTGCTTTCCACTAAAAGTATGTAAATTAATCATTCTATTCAAACCTCTAATCTAAATTAATATTCCCTAAAATTGTTCACTTCTACAAAGACGAAACTCAATTTATAATCATAACAATAATTTTAGTTCCTAAATTTCAATCAATATATAAGAATCATGATTTAAAATTATGCAATCAGAATCACAGATATTTTTATTCATCTACCAAATTTCATTAGATATAATATCATTTCAAAAATTACTGTGATAAATTTTCTTATCTAAGAAAATAAATTTAGCAATTACATCTTAAAAAAACTTTATAATTAATTCTTTTATTAATATTACTCCATAATATCTTGTAAATAACTAAAATTCCCAATAATTGATTAAATTTAAGGAAATACAACACTTTTATAATATATAAAGATATTGAATATTACATATAATTTAAATATTCTATCATATTTCACAATTTGTATATTATACTATTCATTATTCCTTACACTTTCTTATTTAGATTTCCTTTGATCCATCATCCCAAGTGATCAAATACTCTCCATCATCACTTAATTGTCCATAAAGAGTATTACTACTAAATTAAATAGATTATTAAATAATAAAGTCACCATTCTGTTTCTTTCTCATTAAATTCACATTCTTGCCATTCTTATTCACAAGTAGGCATTTTGACTTTATGTATTATTATGGAAATAAAATATCACAACCACTTGAATCATACTTTAATTCGATTTCCTAAATCTTATTATACTATTTATTATTAGTATCCATCTCATATATATACATTTAATCTTTACCATAAGGTTAGAATGTAAATAAGTTATCATTAATAAAACATAATCGATATCCATATTAATCAACTTTTATCTTTTATGTAACACTCCACTATTTATCTAACTTAGACCATTCTATTATTAATATTTATGAATCCTTAGAACAAGATATCAATTTATTTTATTATTCATTTAAACTTAATGAACATACCCAATCAGTATGATCACTTATGGTTTATTAACATATTCATTAATTCTATTTCATCCAAAATTTGATTTTCTTATCAAAACTACCTGATATTATTAAATCATCAGTATTATTTAACAATAAACAAAATATACAAAAAGAATGTCCATTTAATATTTATTAACAATTCCATTAATTATTTCCAATCACCTACCATATTATAATTGAATTATCTAAACTACCAGATACAAAATTATTTGTCTTTTTCATAAAATTTATAGTATATATATTTTTTGCTTATTCAACAATTAAACTTGATTCAATTTTCCTTATTGATTTTCAAATACTTTAATATCCTTTCCACATCCAGCTAAAATAATAGATTAATCTTTATTAAATGCAAAAGCTTTACAGGAAATATCAACCTTTATTGAGTTTTATTTCATGAGCTCAAAGGTGAATTGGTTTGAATTTGCTTTAAAGGTACTTTGGTTTTATGGCTATTATAGTATTGGTTGTTTTAAGTAAAAATTTTGAAACTACTAATTACACTTTTCCTTTTAATTTGTTTAATTCTTTATGTTTTTTAATATTTAATCTATAATCTTTTTGATTTATTCGATAAAATATTTAAGTTGTTAAAATAATATTTCTTCACAACCTTCCAATTAACATAAGCCCTATATCATGTTATCTATCTATGAAATTCCTATTTCTGAGAATTATTAGATATCAAAGTTCAAATAAGGAATTAACTAATTTAGAAGAGAATCAAGAGATAATTTACACTTTTAAACATTCTTTTATACATGTTAAGCATTAATGATTCTTTTCTAAATCCATTCATTAAAAAGTTCAAAATATGTTAATTTGTCAAGATGTTGACCATGTTGAGGTAAAAAATAGTGACAATAAGGTCTCTAATTTGGACATGTGCTATCTATGCAAAATCCAATTATTTATTAATTTCGATGATCAGCTTAGGTACATCTAATCTACATTTCCTATTTCTATTAAAATTATTATTTAAATAGCAAATAATTTTTGATCAATATAAATATCTAAATTTCAATAATATATTTAGATTAAAAAAATTATAGAAAAATGATAACCAAATAAATGATTTATTACAAAAGGAAGAAGAGTTAAATTACCGTAAATTTGAATAGGCAGACATAAAATAAATAATATTCAGGCCAATACTTAGAGAACCCTATAATTAGGCCTTATTTAAAAAATGATAATGATAAATGCTGTGATTTATCAGAAAGGAAAAAGTATTTTATCCATTTAAATTAGTTGAAAAAGAATTGCCTTATAAAATCGCAATGATTAAAATGAGTACAATTAATTTTATATTAAAAAGCATTTGGTTGGTTACAATAACTAAACTACTTTCTTTAATTTAATGCCAGAGAGTATAAAAATAGTTTTCCCTCAAAAAAAAAGATTGCATCATGGCCCCATTAATGTTAAAGATTTAAACGAAAACATACCTCCAATCAAAATTTCAACCTAATTGATTGTTTTATATAAAAATAAGAAATATTGAATGAATCAAATCTCTTTAACAGCTGCCTAAAATAATCAGTTTTATAGTAAATAACAAATTATAATGTAACTTCTTATTAGAAGTATATTTTATGGAAAGCAATATTTTAAACTTTTTCATAATATCAAAAAAGTATATTGATTCTCATGTATACTCATACTTATTTACATTTATTCATCGATTTAAAATGTATGAAATTATTTAACAATTTATATCATATATTGCTCAAATGATTCATAATTTAATAAATTTATTAAAAATACAGAATACTTTGCTATTAATGAACTATCAAAAGTATTGAAAATACAAATATATAGTAACAGCTTAGATAATTAAAAATTTGCTGAAATTTTATTCAAATTCAAGCAAGATACTTTAAATAATTAATATTAGATTATGAAAGCATTTTACTTAAGTTTTTCCTTAATTATGTGAAGTATTTATCCTCTTATTTAAATTTATTATTTTTATTTCAATATTTATAAATTTTATAAAACCATCAAATGATACTTCATATTTTATGGCTAATTTTTTAAAGTTTTTGGTTGAAATTAAACAGATCTAATGAATTTAATTATTATTCATTTTTTAATTTTATAAATTTTAGAATAGAATCATGTCGATTAGTGCTTTATATTTTTAAATCTAATACTATTGAGACTTTATCAATAAGAAAAGTTTTTAACTACTTTCATTGATTGTTTTTAATTGTGGCTATTTGAATAATATCAGATATTAAATATCTATATGAATCTTAATTTATTAAATTATTGTTGAAAATTATAACCATTCATTCTTTAGGTGTTTAATTTATTAGACATTTAAAGTGGACAGTTTTTTTTTTATTTCAATGTTTTTAGTAACTCTATAACAAATAAATGATTAGTAAGAGAAATACGTTATTTCATCTGTCATACAATCTTCCATATTCTAAGTCACATAATTTTGGGTTATCTTTTAATAATGATATTCTCAAATTTAATTATAATAAATCCAAATTGCATATATTACAATTGATTTTCAAATTATTTAAAACATTATTCTCTTCAAGTATTGTAACTAAATCTTAGAAATAAATTAGCTTTGATAAAGGAACTTAAAATTTTATTAATAGTAAAAAAAAGATTGGTTTACAATTAAAATACATTAAAATTATAATAAAGCTATAAATGAAAAAAAGTAGTACAATTACAAATATATTGAGACTTACTTCTGTTTATCCTAAGAAAATTTCATTAGAGAATTTAATATACAAGTGAAATTTAAATGAAAACTATTCAAATTACATAAACTATATAATTTTGTAATTTATAATATCATTATCCTTTAATACTTTACTTCATTCTGGTGGTTTTTCTATTTCTTCATCGATTACTGACAAGTTAACTTCTTCATAATCTTTTCAAGAATTGCTAATTCTTCTCTGGCTTCACTAAATTAGACTTCCTCCATCCCTTCGTTAATGTAGCTAATCAATAAAAATTAATTTTCTGCGAATAAATAAATATATCAACATCAAAATTTTAAGAGAAAAAGGTTAATGTTTATCCTAAAACTAAATTGCTAATGTATTGTTTTTAATTTATCTATTCTCATAGTTAATTACTAACAATTATGATCATATTCAAGTTTAAAATTATATTTCCTTTTTAAAATTGAGAAATATTAAGCTTTAACACCAATGAACAAGAGCCTTTTTCGCAAACATTTAATCAAAACTTTTGGCGAATTTTTGGGAAAATATCATAAATAGCTGTTGTATTGGATATCATGCAGACTGATCGGACAACTTTTGCTATTTCTCCATCTGGAATTATGCAGTGATCTTTGTAATTAATACCTACTTTTAAATTAATTGGGCACCAATCAAGAAATTAAAATGTTTATTTATCTTTTAAATCGGCAATTGATGAATGTACATCCCTTGGAATGACATCCCCTTTATATAATATTGAACAAGCCAGAAATCTTCCCTATAAAGTATTACATTTGACCATCATATTTATGGTTCAAATACTTAAATTGAAATATCATTAGTTTTTGGTTATTAAAAACTAGTATTCCAATTTGATAAAATAGGTGAGTAAGAACATAACATAAAATGAAGACGAGGTAGAACTAGATTAGTTTAAAATTCTTAATATCTGAAAATAGAGATTTATTAAATCTTAAAGCAGCAGTTAATGAAGAGTAAACTTAGGCTGTAAAAGTATTTAAATTGGTATGACTAGGACATTCAATATCATAAATCTTATTACGAATTTCAGAAACGGCTTGATTATCTAAAATAATGCAAACATCTGCAAACTCTTATATATATTAAGTTGCCAAAATTACATTATAAGGTTCNAATCCAAATTGCATATATTACAATTGATTTTAAAAGTATTTAAAACTTTGTTCTTTTCAAGTATTGTAACTAAATCTTAGAAATAAATGAGTTTTGATGAGAAAACTTAAAATCTGAATAATCTTAAAAAGAAGATAGGTTTACCATTAAAATACATTAAAATAAAAATAAATGCTATAAATTAAAAAAAATAGTACAATTACAAATACATTGAGACTTACTTCTGTATTATCCTAAGAAAATTTCATTTGAGAATTTAATATACAAGTGAAATTTAAATGAAATCTATTCAAATTTCATAAACTATATTATTGTGTAATTTATAATATCATTATCCTTAATATTTTACTTCATTCTGGTGGTTTATCTATTTCTTCATCGATTACTGACAAGTTAACTTCTTCATAATCTTTTTCAAGAATTGCTAATTCTTCTCTGGCTTCACTAAATTAGACTTCCTCCATCCCTTCGTTAATGTACCAATGAACAAAAGCCCTTTTCGCAAACATTTAATCAAAACTTTTGGCGAATTTTGGGAAAATATCATAAATAGCTGTTGTATTGGAAATCATACAGGCTGATCGGACAACTTTTGCTATTTCTCCATCTGTAGTTATGCAATGATCTTTGTAAGTAATACCTACTTTAAAATTAATTGGGCACCAATCAACAAATTAAATTGTTTATTTGCATTTTAAATCGGCAATTGATGAACGAACATCCCTTGGAATGACATCCCCTCTATATAATATTGAACAAGCCATAAATCTTCCCAATTAAGTATTACATTTAACCATCATATTTTATGGTTCAAATACTTAAATTGAAATATCATTAGTTTTTGGTTATTAAAAACAAGTTTTCCAATTTGATAAAATAGGTGAGTAAGAACATAACATAAAATGAAGACGAGGATGTAGAACTAGATTATTTTAAAATTCTGTTATATCTGAAAATAGAGATCCATTAAATCTTAATGCAGCAGTTAATGAAGAGTAAACTTATGCTGTAAGTGTATTTAAATTTGTATGACTAGGACATTCAATATCAAGAATCTTATTAAAAATTTCATAAATGGCTTGATTATCTAAAAGAATGCAAACATCTGCCAACTCTTATAAATATTAAGTTGCCAAAATTACATTATAAGGTTCAACTAAAGCAGTTCCATTTAAAGGAGATGGGTAAATATTGATTCCCATTTTAATTTACTTTGAATAATCATCTGACAATCTTTCTAATAATAAGGCGCCTAAACCTGAACCTGTGCCTCCACCTACTGAATTAAATAAAATTATTCCTTATTGACATGAACAATCTTCAACTAATTTTCTTACTCTATCTAAGCTTATATCTATATATTCTTTTCCAATTTAATAATGTCCCTAGCAAAATTATTTGAAGCATATTCTTTGCCATATATAAATTAATTTGGTCTAAATAATTTTCTATTTGCTCCATATTTCACTTTTTATACTGCTTTTGATTCTGAGTCTATAAATAAAGATCTTGGAGAATAGTTTCCTTCTTTATTTTCTAAGAAGAATTTAAAAACTTCACCATATTCCTCTTAATTTTTTATTTCTTTTTTAATTAATCCATTAGATTTAATCCCTTATTCTAAACAAAACAATCCCCAATAAGAATTCCCTAATTAACCACCACCTTATCCCATATGTAATGAGATTATTTCCCTCATATTCAAATATCTTTAAATTTTTTAATATAAAATGGTGCTTCTTATTTTGAATAATAATTAATTGGTTGAGTATTGTGATATAATAATTCTTAAGCATGCAATTTTTCAGTATTTTTTATAAACTTAATTTAAAATTTTAGTCCGAAACCAACCTAATGCTAATATTGAATAAAAACTGTTTTCAGGTTTAATGATAAAAGAGCCTATAAAAAATATTGTTAATTAACGCGATTTTACCTACACCCAACATACATATCATCAAAAATTTATGATATAACAAAAAAAATTCATTTGAATATTTATTTATTGGTTTTAAAATAAAAAATGGTAATATATCGAATAAAGTAATTTGATTAATAATGCTTATTTAATTTGAAATTAAAATTCATATTTTGGAGTCAAATAAAAATATAAATTCGTCATAAATCTATTATATTTTTCAATTGCTTTAGGATATGAACAAACTTACATAACTAATAATATATCATAAAGAAAATGAAAAATAAAGTAGCAGTATCTTCTTCCTTAAATTCTCAAGTTATAAACCTGGAAATTTATTAATAAATAGAACAATGATTCTACTCTGAAGAAATTTATTAATTAATTAAAAAAATCTTGATAAAAATTATCAACAGAAATTTATTTACAATTTCATTTACAAGAAACGAATATTTTTAAATAGATTTATAAAGGAAATTATAAAATGGTTTTTGAAGTCTACACTATTATGATTTTTAATTGTCTTAAAAGTCGATATTTAGAAATTATCAAAATTACATAGTTTTTGACATTGAATAGTTATGAGTTAATTTTTTAGTTAATTAAATAACTTAACTTGTTGTTTAATAAAAAAAAATTTATTCTAATTTAAGAAGGAGAAATGATCATCAATAAATAAGAGAAATAATAAACAGAACAGTCATTTATATTTTAAATATACATAATTCGCATTAAAATTATATAGAATCTTTCTATTTCATGACAATTTAATTTTTAAGTATGTTTTAATTAAATAATAGAAAAATTTTAAATCCATCAGAAATTAAGCTAATTATTAATTTTAAATCATTGAAATTGTTTAATTAAAATGAATAATTTGATGTAAATAGCACAATGTTTCTTATTAGAATAATCATATCTATTATTTAATTACAATTTTTAAGTTAATTTTTATAATTATCAGTAAATTTCAAGATATTTATTAATTAATTATTAATACATATTATTGAATATTTATATTAATATTATATATAAATTAAATTATTTATATAAAATTTAATTATTCCATATTCTTTAAGAAGAAAGTCATGCATATTTTGAAATGATTTCATAATAGCTACCTCTTTTAGAATCCGTTTGAAATCTGCAAAAAGTCTGAACTTCTATTAAACTTAAAAGCTAAAGACACTGTTATCGATTTTGCAGTATATAAAATAAAGTTAGAGTAATAGAAATTCATTATTAAAATATAAAAAGAAAATGCAGGGTTCTTTTTAAGAGAAGGAAACTCTAGCTGACATCTTTTGTTAAGTAAAAGATGTAGATAAACAAAATTTTGCTGTCATTTTAGAAATATTAAGAAAGGAAATAGTTTAAGATTGCATTGGATATCTTTCGGATAATGGAAATACAAAACATTACAAATAATATATTTTTAAAGATGACAACATAAAAGCTTTTGATATGTGGTGGAAATTAGATGTTGTAACCACAAACATAATGAAAATTTCTAATATTCTCAAATTAATAAAAATACATGACTTTAACCAGCTTGACTACTCAACTGAAGAAAATGAAGAATCAAAGCAACATCTAATTTAAAGAATTAATGAAAATAGATAGATCATAGAATTTCTGTAATTTTTAGTTCATCTTACATCAATAGATAAAACTTTGATATAATGTGGGTCTAATTCATTACATGTATTAGTTTTGATGAAGGTGGACTTTAACAACAAAAATTATGAAAATATTATAATCTAAAATACTTCTTTAGTAGGAGCTAATTTTGTTAGGTGTAATTTTAGTGGATCCTAATTTAATAATGTTAACATCAGTGGAATAAATTTGAATGGAGCATTATTATTGAATTGTAAATGGAATAACTTAAAAATCCATGAATTAAATAAATTAAATGGTCATACTAGAGCTGTTTAATCAGTCTGTTTCTCTCCTGATGGATATACATTAGCATCTGGTAGTTATGATAATTCTATTCGTCTTTGGGATGTTTAAACAGGATAATAAAAAGCCAAATTAGATGGTCATACTAGTTATATCTACTCAGTATGTTTCTCTCCAGATGGAAATAAATTAGCATCTGGGAGTAAAGATAAGTCTATCTGTCTATGGGATGTTAAGAGTAAGAAAAAAATAGCCAAATTAGATGGTCATACTAATGATGTCTATTCTGTCTGTTTCTCATCAGATGGAAATACATTAGCATCTGGTAGTGGTGACAGCTCCATCCGTCTTTGGGATGTCAAAACAGGATAATAAAAAACCAAATTAGATGGTCATAGTGATTATGTTTTGTCAGTCTGCTTCTCTCCTGATGGAAATATAGTAGCATCTGGTGGTGGTAATCTTTATACTTTTAGGGGTGGTGATTGTTCTATCCGTCTTTGGGATGTCAAAACAGGATAATAAAAAGCCAAATTTGAGGGTCATTAATAATCAGTCAACTCAGTTTGTTTCTCTCCTGATGAAAATACATTAGCATCTGGTAGTTCAGATAACTCTATCTGTCTTTGGGATGTCACAACAGGAGAATAAAAAGCCAAATTAAATGTTCATACTCGTTATGTCAACTCAGTCTGTTTCTCTCCTGATAATAATACATTAGCTTCTGGAAGTAATGATGGATCTATCCGTCTTTGGGATGTCAAAACAGGATAATAAAAAGCCAAATTAGATGGTCATACTATTGATATATTATCAGTCTGTTTCTCGCCTAATGGAAATACATTAGCATCTGGTAGTGGTGACAACTCCATCCGTCTTTGGGATGTTTAAACAGGATAATAAAAAGCCAAATTAGATGGTCATACTAATTATGTCTTATCTGTATTTTTCTCTCCTGATGGAAATACATTAGCATCTGGTAGTGCAGATAAGTCTATCGGTCTTTGGGATGTCAAAACAGGATAATAAAAAACCTAATTGGATGGTCATACTAATGCAATCACGTCAGTCTGTTTCTCTCCTGATGGAAATACATTAGCATCTGGTAGTGATGATAAGTCTATCCGTCTATGGGATGTCAAAACAGGATAATAAACAGCCAAATTTGATGGTCATTCTAGTTATGTCTTATCTGTATTTTTCTCTCCTGATGGAAATACATTAGCATCTGGTAGTGATGATAAGTCTATCCGTCTTTGGGATGTCAAAACAGGATAATAAAAGGCCTAATTAGATGGTCATTAGTATTAAGTCAGCTCAGTCTGTTTCTCTCCTGATGGAAATACATTAGCATCTGGTAGTGCAGATAAGTCTATCGGTCTTTGGGATGTCAAAACAGGACAATAAAAGGCCTAATTAGATGGTCATTAGTATTAAGTCAGCTCAGTCTGTTTCTCTCCTGATGGAAATACATTAGCTTCTGGTAGTTATGATTACTCTATCCGTCTATGGTATGTCAAAACTGGATAGTAAGAAGCCAAATTAGATGGTCATACTAGTTTTGTCTAATCTGTCTTTTTCTCTCCTAATGGAAATACATTAGCGTCTGGTAGTGATGATAAGTCTATCCGTCTATGGGATGTCAAAACAGGATAATAAAAAGCCAAATTAGATGGTCATACTCATAATGTCTACTCAGTCTGTTTCTCTCCTGATGGAAATACATTAGCTTCTGGTAGTGATGATAAGTCTATCCGTCTATGGGATGTCAAAACAGGATAATAAAAAGCCAAATTAGATGGTCATACTCATAATGTCTACTCAGTCTGTTTCTCTCCTGATGGAAATACATTAGCTTCTGGTAGTGATGATAAGTCTATCCGTCTATGGGATGTCAAAACAGGATAATAAAAAGCCAAATTAGATGGTCATACTCATAATGTCTACTCAGTCTGTTTCTCTCCTGATGGAAATACATTAGCTTCTGGTAGTGATGATAAGTCTATCCGTCTATGGGATGTCAAAACAGGATAATAAAAAGCCAAATTAGATGGTCATACTCATAATGTCTACTCAGTCTGTTTCTCTCCTGATGGAAATACATTAGCTTCTGGTAGTGATGATAAGTCTATCCGTCTATGGGATGTCAAAACAGGATAATAAAAAGCCAAATTAGATGGTCATACTCATAATGTCTACTCAGTCTGTTTCTCTCCTGATGGAAATACATTAGCTTCTGGTAGTGATGATAAGTCTATCCGTCTATGGGATGTCAAAACAGGATAATAAAAAGCCAAATTAGATGGTCATACTCATAATGTCTACTCAGTCTGTTTCTCTCCTGATGGAAATACATTAGCTTCTGGTAGTAGTGATAAGTCTATCCGTCTATGGGATGTCTAAACAGGATAATAAAAAGCCAAATTAGATGGTCATACTAGTTATATCTACTCAGTATGTTTCTCTCCAGATGGAAATAAATTAGCATCTGGGAGTAAAGATAAGTCTATCTGTCTATGGGATGTTAAGAGTAAAAAAAAAATAGCCAAATCAGATAGTCATGTAATTGATTTGTACTCAGTCTGTTTCTCTGCACCACTTGTTTCAAACAATCCTCAATTAGGTATTTATTTGATTATTATTTTTTAGAATCCAACAAAATTACAATTTTAAGAATATCTCAAATACCATTATTATAAGCATAAGGAGCTTTGATCTTGAAAGGAGACTTTGTAAATTATGAAAGGTACAATTTAAGTTAATTATTCAAATCTAAAGGAACTTACTTTTTAGAAGATTTAAAGTAAAAGTGAATTTGATTATGATCAACAACAATACAATTATAATTACATTTTTATTAATTATGTCTTTATCAGATCAGCTCTTTACCTTCTCCTCTTCAGATAGTTAAGTGCATATTTTCCAAAGTTTTATTCCATTTCAGTAAATGTACACCTCTTTTACTTTAATATCATAACAATCTATTCTTTTTTAACGATCTAGGTAATCATGATAGGTTTACTTAATTTATTATTATCTTTATCAGTTCAGCTCTTTCTTCATTTTTATGATAACTTTTAGCAGGTAAGTACAAGTTTCTCCAAAATTTTATTGCATTTTAGTTAAATCTTCACACCTGGTCAGTTTAGTTTAGAGAACAATTATTGAGATGTCATAAGAACTCTTATTAATTAATTTTTATAGCAATTTCAATTTAAATGATACTACATTAAATAAATACACTACAGGTAGTTTAAAAAACAAAGCTAAGCTCATCAAAGATACTAAAATAATTAAAGCACAACGTCATTCTTTTTAATCATCTAGGATAAGATGGTAAATTACAATATTTTTTTCTTATTTCTAAAAGGTATTAGTCATAAAGTTATATCAATAGTTTTGGTTTTTTTTTTGTTTATAAATAATAAAAGATTTATTTAATAAAAAAATAATAAAAAAGATATGTAAACAATTTAAAACAAAAAATAAATCCTAGAATCATTCAAAACTTTTGTGATTAATTAAATACATATAAAAGTATTACTGAATATAAAATACTGTAAATA